ACGTCGTGCCCCTTTAGCACCTGAACATGTTCGAACACTTGTCAAAAAACATAACATTAAAGTTCTTATTCAAGCATCAAATCGTCGTGCTTTTCCAATTTTATCATATATACAGGCAGGTGCTACTGTTCAAGAAGATTTAAGTGAAGCATCAGTTATAATTGGTGTTAAACAAGTTCCAGCAGATTTATTAATACCAAATAAAGTTTATATTATGTTTTCACATACACATAAAGCTCAAGAAGATAATATGTCATTATTAGATGCCTGTTTAGAAAAAAATATTACATTAATTGATTATGAAAGAATTGTTGATGATCAAGGTGTTCGATTAGTTGCCTTTGGAAAATATGCTGGAGTTGTTGGAATGATCAATATTTTACATGGACTTGGTGTAAGATTTCTTGCACTTGGTCATCATACACCATTTATGGTACGACGAAAAAAAAATGAATGCTTTTGTTAGCAATAAAATATCTAAATTTAATATATTTAGCATATTGGTCCAGCACATAATTATCGAAATAATGAACAAGCTCGTATGGCTATTCGAGATGCTGGATATGAAGTCGCTTTAGGTCTTATGCCGAAATCTATTGGACCACTGACAGTTGTTTTCACTGGATCAGGAAATGTTTCTCAGGTAAAAAATGATTCTATGAAATCGTTCATCTCAACTGTTGATATATATATCAATTTAGGGTGCTCAAGAAGTCTTTCGTGAATTACCATTTGAATATGTCGATCCAAAAGCTCTTCCACAAGTTGCTCAACATGGTGGTATATAGTATAATTATCATTTTCAACAATAAAATACATTCACTTCTATTTTATATAGCTAATAATAAGATTTATGGAAGTGTTATTCAACGTAAAGATCATCTAATAAATAAAGAAACTGGAGAATATAATGAAGCAGAATATCATAAATATCCTAATAGATATACATCAACATTTAAAACAAAAGTTAGTTATTTAAATATTTTTTTTAAATAAATATTAATTTCTATTCAGAATACTACATCTAAGGGGTAAAAAGAATATCTACGACGCGAAATTAAGCATTCTTTGCTGCTACATATTATCTTGATTTTTACAGTTTACTTTTCTGATTAATTCATTTTGGAATATATATATATATTTATAAAGATATCAATTTCTATAGATTGCTCCATATGCTTCGGTCATAATCAATGGCATTTATTGGGAACAAAATTCACCAAAATTACTTCGTATTTCTAATGCAAATCAATTGTTAACTCCACCACCAGAATGGTCACAAAATGATCCTAAATCTGGATGTCCACCATTACCTCATCGACTTTTAGCTATTTGTGATATCACAGCTGACAAAGGTGGTAGTATTGAAATAGTTCAACAAACAACAAGTATTGATCATCCATTTTTATTATATAATCCTAAAACAAATACATCAACAGAAAGGTACTTATTTAATTATATGTAAGAAAAAGTGAAAAAAAAAAGATTTCCTAATTAGTTTTGATGGTCCTGGTGTATTAATTTGTTCGATTGATAATATGCCAACACAATTACCATTAGAAGCAACTGTTTATTTTGGTTCAAAATTACTTCCATTGATACCACAATTCCTTGAACTTGATGCTAAAAAAGATTTTGAAAAACAAACACATGTACCTCGAGTTGTTAGAGATGTAAGTTTGGAAAGAGTTTAATATTTGACTGTTCGTACACTAATCGAAATTCTTTTTCTTTTCATATAGGCAACTCTAACAGCCAATGGTCAATTGACACCAAAATATACTTATATAACACAATTACGAGAACAAAAAAAGTATATAGATAATAAATTGAAATTTATTCTTGTAATCAATATGTATATATTTCTTTTTAAGATTAAAAAAATCAATGTCATCGGTTTCAAAACGTGTACTTGTATTAGGTACTGGTTTTGTTAGTGGTCCTGTTGTTGAATATTTAACACGTGATAAACAAGTTCATATAACAGCAGTTAGTGCAGTAAAACAAGAAGCTGATCGACTTGCATCACAAAATCCTCAAACAACACCTGTATTACTTGATGTAACACGAAGTCAAAGTGATCTTGAAAAATTAATAAGAGAACATGATTGTGTTGTTTCACTTTTACCATTTACATTACATCCTGAAATTGCTTCAATGTGTATTAAACATCGTCGTCATTTAGTAACAACAAGTTATGTATCACCAAAAATGAAAGCTTTACATGATGAGTATGATAAAACAATCTCTTTGATTTCAAATACATAATGTATCTTAGAGCTGCAGCTGCTGATGTCACATTATTAAATGAAGTTGGATTAGATCCCGGTATTGATCATATGCTTGCTATGGAATTATTTGAAATAATTCGTGATGATGGTGGTCGAATAGATTCCTATGTATCATATTGTGGTGGATTACCAGCTCCAGAATATGCTGATAATCCTTTACGATATAAATTTAGGTATAGATAAATATCGATTTTTTTATTAATCTGAATTTTTTTCTTCTAGTTGGTCACCACGTGGTGTTCTTACAGCTTTACTTAATCCAGCTAAATATTTAAATAAAAGCAAAGTAACGAAAAAAAAAAGAATCTTCTTGATCAAAATATTCATTTTTATCTAATCAGATTGTTCAATTACAAGGCAATGGTGGTGTTATAGAAGGTGGATGTACAACAGCAAATTTTCTTCCTGGTTTTAATCTTGAATGTTATCCAAATCGAGATAGTACAACATATATTGATTCATTACAACTTGATACAGTACATACAATACTTCGAGGAACGTTAAGATATAAGGTAATGTTAAGATAAATAGACTAGTATTGATGTTAACATCAATGATAATATTATTAATGTTTGTTGAAATGTCAAGGCATTGACTCTATCATACTATCCAATTTTGTGTCTGCAGCTATAATCATCAGCGAATAAAGATAGTCAAATGAGCATGTCTATGTTTGTTACAAAAAATAGAAATTTATCTAGATCTAGTAAAATTTGCTAGTATTGCTTATGATGGACTTTGTTGAATGTCAGTATAAACAAGTTTCATAATAAATTCTCATCATATGATTAGATGTTATGTAATACAATCACATTTATCTTTCCCTAATTTGATATATTATATGTAACTTCTGTTTTTTCTCAAGTAGTCAGAAATGATACAAAATTACTTCTAAATTTTGAATATTCGAATGTTATTATAGTTGATGATGAATATCTCGGCATTGACATACTATCTCTAGACAAATATGTTGATTGTTTTTTAAGGGTTTTTGTCAAAATGTACTTGGATTAATTCGTCTTGGTTTACTTAACGATCAACCACATCCAAGTTTACAATCGAATGATGATCTTACATGGAAAGATTTTATGTGTGATCTAGTGAATTTAAAACGTGATACATCATTAAATACACTTCGAACTACTATTCATCAACGATTACAAAATGAAAATCAATTACAAACTATTGAAGAGTAGAAATAAAAAAAATATTTTTTCGTAATATTTTCTTTTCTTTTCAATATATATAGACTTGGTCTTCTTTCTGATGATACTAATATAGAAAAACGTTCAAATCCACTTGATACAATAAGTGGATGGTTATCTAAACGTTTATCATATGGACCTAATGAACGTGATATTGTTATTCTACATCATCAAGTTGGTGTTACATGGCCAACATTATCTGAAGAAGAAACAGAATTAAAAACAATAGATATGGTTGTTTATGGTGACTCGAAATATTCAGCTATGGCAAAAACAGTTGGTTTACCAGCTGCTATTGCTACACGAATGCTTCTTGCAAGTATGTTTCTTTATTTTATTAAAAATTAATGATTTAAACTGAATTTTATTTATTTTTTTTTCTTCTTTAGATGAAATTCATGAACGTGGTGTTGTTGTACCTGTTAAACGTACCATCTATAAACCAATTTTAAATGAACTTAAACGTGAAGGAATAACATGGACAGAAAAAACAATCAAAAAATAATTGATATACTTCTGTTTTTTAAACTATTGTTTTTTAGTTAGTTTACTTTTTTTTAAATAAAAACTATGTTTTGTCGGTACAGATTAAATAGCATATATCTATATAATCGACAGATGGTTTAGAATATAATATAACATACTTTTCATACTTTGCAAACAATTATTGTAGAAGATATTGTTTGTATGCATCCCTGATCTATAATTATAGCTGTTAGCGGGAAGTTCCTTGAAGATTCATCGTGTACTAAGCAATCCTATTGACATTGAATAGAACATGAGAGGGAAAAAAAGCAAAGATTGAGAGACGATAGTTACAATGCAATTATATATATATCGAGGAAAAAAATGTTACTCTGTTCAATAGAATAGAAGTATGAATAACAAAGAAGTGATGATGAATTCTTTACATCAATATAGTTTGAGTGTATGCTGCTACTACTTCTTCTTCTCATGTCTGTAATCTATACATATATACAATTGTTAAGAGATGAAGAAATTAGTAATGCTACATTCTTCTAGTTTTTCTTTTTATGTTACAAAGAAACAAAACATAAGTAGAGTTCATTATTAGTCGGAAGCGTTTCATATGTTCAAAGATGAGAGAATGATTATTGTTGATGTTCGATATCATTATTACAGAAAGGTTTAGTTGACAGACATCAATGGCGATAATCATCCATCTCTCTTTCTCTCGTTTTCTTCTTCTTCTTCTTCTTTCTCTTCTACTTTTTTTTTCTTCTCAGCTTTATGTATGTCTTTCACTTGAGTTCGTGTCCTATACATTGCAGAAGAAAATACGAGTTCTCATCCTTGAGTATTCCATCAGAAAAAAAGCTAAGCTAAATGACCTTCTTTTTCTCTCCTTCGCGATTCTTTGTATTAATAATAATAAGAAGAAAATGATGCTAGTTTTTTTTCTCTCCTGACGATATCTGTCTATTACTTTTTTTTAGTTGTTGTTGTTGTTATTACTCTTAACGTAACAAGTATGAATGACTATGGAGAACATAATTTTCGTAAGTATATAATCAAATTAATAATCGTAAATATGTAAAAGAAAGTTGAACAAATTGTATTTCTTTTTATAGATTGTTAATTAACGTTAAGAATATTTCCCCCCGGAAAAATAATTCAATATATTTTAGGGATTAATCCTAAAATGAATGCAACGAATAGACTTGATTTACTTATATCGGATATTTTTAAAAATCCAACATCAGATTTTTGTAATGGTATCAATCAAGAAACATCTATTCAACCATCATCATCAAGATTGACATTTTCTGAGCATAGTTCTCATCCTTCAACAATATTGCCATCAGCTATTACAACAATTGTACCCTTACCACCACGTCGTGATTCTTCATCAATGAAACATCATCGTCGACGTCCTCGTATTGATCAAACTGACAAACAAAATAAACAAGATCAACCACTTTTAAATTCATCAACATTAGATGATTTATTTCGTGCATTAACACTTGAATGTGAACAATATTTAGCTTCAATATCATCCTATCAAAATAAAACATATGGTCAAATTATTGTTCAACCTTCATCAGATAAGCAAACAGCTGTTGAATCCAATGATGAAGATTATGAAAATCTACATAAATCACAGCCACTATGTCAAACAATAAAAACGAATATTTCTCCACTTAAAACAAGTATTGAAGTTATAAGTCCAATAAAAAGACATGTTGTGTCAATAACTGTATCATCAAAGATATCTTCACCTCAATTAATAGTATCGTCTACAAAATCTCCTTCATGTCATTCTACAACATCAATGATAACACCAACGATTTGTCATTCAAGTGAAGATGATTCGACTAATATATCATCATCAAGTACAAATCGTAAACGTCGTCGTCGTACACGTAAACAAATAATATCATCATCAACAACTCGTTCAAGTTCATCATCAACAGAACGAAAAGAATTACATAATAATACTACTAATAATAATAAAAAACCTGTAATTTCAAAACGTTCATGTAGTACAGATCCTCGTTATCAACGTCATAAACAATCTCAAGATAATATTTTTAATAATAATAATTCATATTCATCATCTCAGAAACAATTTACAAAGCCGTCACGTCGACGTGATGTTTCATTACAACATTCATCTTTAAATTCAGGGCGTGTTTATGATAATTATTCATCACCTTTATCTGTTCTATTAACATCAACAAAACCTACAAGTGATTTTCTTAATAATTCACATCAACATAAACAAAGACGTTCACGTCTTGAATCTATTGATCCTAAACCATTAACATTATTTTATCAACCATCAACGATTCGTAATAATAATAATAACAAAAACAAGAACAACATTCCTACACATCGAATACCGTCATATCCAGTTTATTGATATGAAGAATACTCAGGGAACAAAAAAAAAGAAGAAGAAAAGTTAATTTGTTTTTACAACTGCAAAATAATCACTCAATACGATAGTACTTTCATTCCATTTAGGCATTCCATAATTTGAATGCAATTGTTAATTTAACAGAATCAATCTCATATAACTTCTCAATCAACAAGAGGGAAAACAAAGTACATACTAGACATAAGTAACATGTCGTTTATTTACATTAATAAAAGCAGACAACTCAAATTTCTTTCAAGAGGTTTACAATTTCTAGAATATCCTTCAATTTTCTCTCTTTATTATTTTCAGTTTTCTTTTTTGTTTGTTTGTTGTATAATTATTTTAAACTATGTATTATGTAGATTAGTACATTGACACGTTTTTTTTCTCTCTCTTGTCTTTGTCATATTTGAAGTGTAATTTGTCAATAGTCCTGTTAAAATTTCAAATAAATTTCTCAATTAAAAATATTGCATTATTGCCAAATCTATTTGCACTCAAATATTTTGTTTTTACTATGATAAGAATAGTTTTATGTTATAGAAATTTTTATTTTTTATTATTATGCCGGAAATGTCTTGAGGCTATTTATATATATATTCGCAGTTAGTTGGGTTCAGTAAAAGTACAAACAAATAATTTATTGTAAAATTACATAATAGATATATCTGTATTGATGTGGAAATATATATATAATACATCCGGAAAAAATATAGAACATGATTTCTTTCGTAATGATTATTATTAGAGAAATAGATCGAAGACCCTATCCAATTAACTCAATAAAATACTTACGTTGAAAAATTTTATGGTTATAATTTGAATAAGTAATTATATAGAAATAATAATAATAATATTTGACTTTGTCTTTTCGAGTCATATTACTAAAAATAATATTCTATATAAAATTCTTCCAATTATGTTACTAATTTATTGTGCAGAAGATGATATTATTTTATTTGTTGACACATGAAATCAGTCGTTGATATGGTTTTATATATGTCAACAATCAATTTTCATTTAATACAAGATTACCATCCAGGTCTATTGTCTCTCTATGTATTTATAAACTATTCTATTTTAAAACTAAACTCATTAGTACATATGCTTTAAATCAATCTTAGGAACTTATGATAATATTCAATCTTCTATTCTTCAGAGTAAATCATAATTTACATATACATAGTATCTTTGACATCTCATTTTTACTGTAGATTGACCATGTGTTCATCGATATTATACGTCACTTTCTCATTTATTACCGTCTGTTAGATATCTAAATGAATACAATTTCCTTCATCAAATACCATATCATATTCTATGCCTTATTCATTTACACAATTGGATAGGTTTATATTAACGACCAAATAATCAGACGTTTAGGGCATATGTCAGTTCAAGATGAGAACATTGTTGAAACAAATAATCTATCCAATCAGAAAGTTCGGTATAAATAGCAGCTGTTTTTTTTACGGGTTAATCATATGCCCTTTGGCTTGTGCATGATAGAAAGATAATGTTGTGATCTATCAAACAATTGGAAGAAGCTAGTTATTTCCAGAAGATAAGAGAAGAATTTTTGATTGATGATATATCTATGTGTTATATCTCTGTGCTCTTCTTCTTCTCTTTCTCTCTCTCTCCCTAGAGCCTATATATATTTATACAAATCTGGGATAGTGTATATCAGTATTCTATCTCATTGTGAACTTATTAACCGACGTTAACTCAACAAATATCATGCATCTCGTATTATTTTCAATAGTTGCACTCTGTGTTGCAGGTTAGTTATAATCTAAACTTTTTTATATAAATTTCTACTCCAAAACTCTAGACAAAAGTAGAACACAAGAAATTGCCATTGCTACTGACTATTCACGAGCTCATGTGAATGATTCTCTTCTACCTGAATCAGGTCGGTCGATGAGTTCATATAAAAAGGATTAAAACTAATCATCAGTGATTTTAAAAACTAATACAATTTTAATTGTGATATATCTTTTTTTATGATTTTTCCTTATTTTAGCAATCAATGCTCAAGTAACACCAGCAGTTCCACCACCTGTAAATCCTGATATTGTCGTTACTGGACCAATAATTGCAGCACCACCAGCTGCAGCAGGAAAACCAGCAAAAGTAGCAGTAGCAGCAGTAAAACCAGCACCTGTTGTAGTAGGAGGAAAAGGAACTGATGCAACAAGTAAGTCTTTCTAGATAAAGTTATTAAAAGATAATAGATTTTGTTTTTTAGCAACAACCACTGGTGCAACACCACCAAAAGCTGAATTAGGAGGTAAATTTTTTTAGAAAAATTAAATTAACGATAAATATATTTTGGTTTTTAGGACCAAGCGATGCTAAAGATATTAAACATGATAAAGATCATAAAGATGGTAAAGATACTAAAGATGATAAAAAACACAAAGATGATAAAGATCATAAAGATGGTAAAGATACTAAAGATGATAAAAAACACAAAGATGATAAAGATCATAAAGATGATAAAGATACTAAAGATGCTAAAGATTCAAGTTCAGGTAAATAATATACTTGTGTATATTATGATTTTATATTATGATTTTTAATTTGAATAGAAGAAGCTGCAGAAGATAAAAGCAAATCCTTTGATCATGAACATGAATCTCACCATGATCATGATGCAACAATCTCCGTTGATGTTCACAATATTCTTGATTTATTCAAAGAACAATTACATGAAACAGAAGAACGTCTTCTTGCTGCTATTCATCATGATCATAAAGAACATCATCCAAAAGCATCACCAGCACCAAAATCTTATCGTACAGCTGATCGTTAAAAACGATTATTCAAATGTGTATTGCAATAAGAAAAAAAAACAAAAAAAGACTCACACACACACACATTTTAAATCCCTATTCGACTTTTAATACTGTTGAAATTAATTTTAGTTTGATCTAGTTCATGCTTTAATACTCGGCATTCATTATCAGCTTGATTTCGCAACTAGAATAATAAATAAAATAGAAAACAAGTCTAAATATAAAATCTTTTACTTTAATATCAGTTGTCAATCGTAATTTTGATTGATCAATTTGTTGATGGAGACCTTGCATTTCATGCTGAATACGTGTAATTTGTAGAAGATAATTCTTAAAAAAAAGAAAAATTCAATTTCAATAATTAAACAAGATATTTTCTTACTTCAGAGGTTTCAGTTTCTTTCGATTGATTCGTTTTTGCTGAATGTTTAGGTTCATTCGTATATGCTTCTTCAGTTTTTTTATGTATCTTATCTAATTCAGTATTTAATTCAGTTATACGATGTTCAATTGGTGAATTTCTTTTTTTTTCTTGAAAATATTTTTTCTTCCACATATCACGAGCTTTACAAATTAAAAATTATTATTTTAATAAATTTCAAAAAAAATAATATTTAGAAAGACAAACCTTCTTTTCGTCGTGTTGTTAATCGACTATATATTGATTTTAAATTGCTAATAGCTTCTTCACGAGTTTTTTTAAGATCAACACAATTTTTACGTACTTCTTGTAAATGATTACGAAGTGATTCAGCTAAAAATAAAAATATAATCAACATATTTTAAAAGAAATTCCATCTATGCACAAATGTTGACTATTATTATAATAATATACATTTTATGGTTGCATTAAGTGATGTATTCGAATTATTATGAGTGCATAGAGTTCGTCCTAACGATTAGCAAAATGATTTTGATAATAAATCTTTCAGTTTGTCAAGTAACAGATGTGTCAAAGGTTATATATAAATACCAGGGATATATATGGTTTCTAATATTCATAGCTGTCGCTAAAATCTACTGGAACTAGTCTGGATTTTTAATTGATACACTAAAGTGTTTGTTTATTATCAGTACGAAGATCTTATGTTTTTATTAATTTATATACATATGTATATAGATAGGAAAGAATAATAATAATAATACATACGATCATCATGATGTTGTTGTTGTTGTTGCTGTTTTGGTTGTCGTTGAGGCGATTCGTGTTGTCCTTGTTCTTCTACATCTTTAGGTTTTCGTTTTTCTTCTTCTTGATGTCGACGACGTCTAATTTCTGCTTGACGTCGTTCTACTTCATACCTTTCAATCATAATACAAAAATAGAAATTTATATAATATCTCAGACATGAATAATCTACAGTTATACAAGATACAGACATTAAGACTTACGTATCATCATCATCATGATTTATATCTGGTGTTGATATCTGTACCAACTCTTCTGTCGGATGACGTATTTTAGTTACAGTTACAGTTCGATTAATCTCATCATCATCAATATTATCTTTTGTTTTTGAATATGATGATATATTTGATGAAATTTTTCTTTCAGATTTCATTGATAATAATGATGATGAATTAGAAGATATACTTTCTCGTGTTAGTATTCTTGTTTTTGGTCGAGATACACTCGAATCATCATCATCGTCACCTGATGTTGATCCAATTGATGATGATCGAGATAAAATTTCACTATGAAAATGAGAGGCGAAAGATAGAAATACTACAGTGCTGATGATAATATACAACAACATGCATGCGTGATTTAATTCTGATTATATATGTATGGGAAAAGTGGATTTATACAGTGAAAACATTAATAACAAACCCATCTGATAATTCATCATCATTAATATCCATTTTTTTCTCATTTATTATCGTATTACTATTTGCTGATAATATTCGAGTATCATTCTTAATAATACTGGAAGAATTGCATAAAGATGATTATAAATTATATATATATATATTCAAATAGATAATAAAACAAATATTTACTTTATTTGGCGTTCTCGAAATGCTTGTCGTTCTTTAAAACCACGAAATGATGCCTGAATTTTTGCAGCTGCATTATCTTGTTTTAACTTACGTTGGTGCTCAGCTTCGATTTTCTCTTGACGACGACGTTGTTCTTGTTGTTCACGTTCAGATTTTTCTTTTTCTTGACGACGACGTTCGTTTTCCTTACGTTCAGATAGTAATTTCTCTTGCCGTTGTTGTTCATTATTTTTATGTTCCGATTGTACTTTCTCTTGTCGATGATGTTGATTACGATCTGATTGAAGTTTTTTTTCTTCAGCTGCTAGACGCATTCGTTCTAGTTCAGCTTGACGCTGACGAAGTCGTTCTTGTTCCTCTTGTAATTTAGCTAATCCTCTGAAGAAAGAAAATATGAAGAAATTTTAGTCAAATATTTTATATACCTTGATGCAGTATTCGATACACCAGATCCACGAGAAAATACGCTTCTATAATTGACTCTGATTAAATTTATAAAATATAAAAATTAGATTTTTGCTAATAAATCTTTGTTTTGTCTTACCTCACTGAGGATATTGATGTTGAATCTTCTAAATCTAAAAAGAAAAGAAAATCTTTGTCAGAGTAAAGCTTGATTCGTATTTACCTGAATCAGCTTGTGGGAATTTTTTCCAACTAATTCTTCCGGATGATGAAAGACGAGATGTTGAAGTATTTATGGGTAATATTGGTAACTTATGTTCATCAGTATTTAATGGTTCACGATGATAAGTATGAGAAAGTTTTGATGATGTTGATGGGCCATAATCAGCAAAATTAAAACGATGTTGATAACGATTACCAAATAAATAATTTGCAGAAGAACGTGATGGTGAAGCAGATGGAATATATCTATAATCTTCATGACGACCTTCGATAAGATAAATCTAATTAAATCAAATAAATTATATAATTCAGTTTTTTGTTTTGTTATTATTGTAAAAAAAAGAAATTTTTACCTCAGGCGCAGATGTCTACAAAAAAAAAGATAATAAATTGTATAATTATTTCGAATGAAAAGAACTATTCTAACCTGAGGTGGACGATAGTTCTTAACTTTTAATTCATTTTCTTGTGTTAGTTTAACTCTTGTTAAACCTCTTCCAACAGATCGAAGAAAAATAAAATCTCGTGGAAAATAATTTTCTGTACGACATAATTTCTCAATTGCTTGTCGTAGATTATATAATTTCATATCCGGTGGTACTCTATAATCACTTACATACAAAAAAAATCAATAAATAAATATTTTTACCGAACAAAACCAGCAGATCTAGCTTCATCCATTGCTTCATTTTGTGCGAAATGTTGAATATTTTTCCATACAGATGTTGGTATAACATATATATGCAAATCAACAAGCTATTTAGAAAAAGGAAATAGTAAATTTAAACAAAAAAAAACTTCTTTTACTTGTGAAGAATCAGGTCGATCATTACTGAGAAAACTATTTTGAGATTGACTCTTTGGATAAATATTTGGTAACGTATTAAACTGTTCATTTTCTAGACGTGTCTGGAGCATTGTCGTTGTGTTGTGTTTTTTTTGTAGTGTTAGTTAATTTTGATCACTCAATTATAAACGAACAATGATTTATATTTTTTTGCGTGATTAGTTTTTTTTTCAATTCTTTTCTCTCTCTTTTTTTTTCTCCTCAAAAAGTGTTGTTATTGAATAGTATATGCATGTCATGTTCCTTTTCTTCTTGACAACTTAATGTATTGACATATATACAAATAAATTCTATTTTTCTTATATTTAAATGCTTTTAATTTGAATGATTTCATATTCGTTTTCGCTTGCACTTTTTCTTCTTCAATTATTTGTGCACTTCATTCATGTACTTATTTACCATTTAAATTTATCATAACTAATGTTTCTTTCTGTAACCAATTGAATTAAAAAATAAAAATAGCTAAAGGAATAAAATTTCGTCTTTCGAGTACTATTTATCGGTTGAAAGATGAATCAAACAAAATAGTCTATTTATTGATCAATACGACATTGAGTGGGCGATATATCTGGAAGATAAGAGATTCTAAGTGGGTTGTGGGGCGAACACAACAGAAGAAAAAAAAGAAGAAGATAACCTCGTTTGTATTTATACATATGTACATAAATACAAAACGCTACTTATATTATTGTCCTTCGATTCTACAAAACAACCGTTACAATATATCTAATGGCATACAATCGACTTTTTAGTATGATTTATTTTATGTTTGTACTTAAATTAAAGTTTTTATCTTTTAGTCTATTTTATAATCATAATGGTGATGTCTTTTGCAATTGAACAATCAAATGGAATTTATGTTGATTGTCAAGCACGTTGTATGATAACATCACGACGTGAACGTAATAGAGATACATTACAAATGTGTCGTGATGAATGTGAATTAATGGAATTACTTGAACAAGAAGATGCAAGAGAAGGAAAACATTACAAATATAGAGGATACAATTAAAGATTTGATTTTTTTTGTTTGTATTTTATTAATGTAGAGTTTTAAGTATATGTATGTAAGACCATCAAGCCGGTTTTTCTTGTAATTTACTTGTATGCATATATACTTACCTAATAAAAGTTTGATAACAACTAAATTTGAATTGCCATACGATAATATAAAATAAGAATGATTGAATTAGCTATTAGATGTCTATAGGCCAAAGATAGAGGTGTCCTTTAGAAGGTCATCTTTTCATCAGTACAAATCGTCTAAATGATATGTTAATTGATAAACAATCTGCTGTATTTCGTTGCATTGACAAAATATTAATTGAGTTACCTTAAACAATACTAAAAAGTATTTGTTTTAATATATAAAATACGTCTATTAAACAGTAAATGGAAACGTTTGTAGATTCAATTTGGAATGTTAAATAAAACTATATTTACTTTTATTGTAACATATAATTGATTATTTATACATATGTAAAAATCTGTCAAAAAAGAATATTTTCTTAACCAGTATTTATTAGCGTACATAATTATTGTCAGATTATATATATATATTCTTTTATTCGAGAATAAACATCTGTATTCATATTAACCAAATATTGTATACTGAAGGAATTCTTTTTTAATTAAGAATATATGTTATTTATTTCTATACGTGTGAAAACTAAATAACAAATGTTAGAGAAGAAGTTGTCAATATCCAGTATAAGAAATTATATTATTTCTAAAGAATCTAGAACAGACTAAGATATTATATGAATCAACTATTGATACTATCATAACATAACTGACTGGTACAGTTGTGTTGTTGATAGATGGTGGGTCAACAATATTTCAGTAATACAGAATTGAAAAATATATACTTGTAATCGATAAGATATTTCGTAATTGTCATTGTCGTAATAAGAATCAAGTTGTTGAGTGTTTCGCTTATCAATATGAATAATCAATCATCATTAGAAAATTCTATTTTTATCAACTTTTGCTTAAATAACAATTTCAACTATTGAAAACATTCTATTTATAGATGTTGGTAGAACGTATAGATTGGATAAAGCTTAAGTTTCATCAAAATATGAATTTAGTTTAATGTAGACTCTGTATTGTTCAGTTTCATGACGATAGGTTTTATCTTATTTACGGTGAATTAGATCAATTATATAATTAGAATTACTTGTTCTATTTCAGCAGATCATTTGCCTTGTCGTTTGTGATATCATTATTCTATATTATTGATGGAGAACATTTTTCTTCGAAACATTAACTGATATATTGACTGAAAGATAGCTTGAAATTTATATAATTTTCGAAATGTTCACTTTTCATCTTTCTTAAATGTATAGTCACTATAATTCTATTGAGATGATAAAAGGCTATTATATTAGATAAACAAACATTCCTTCTTTTCAAGCATAATTAGCACAATAATATTTTAGATTAGAGAAAGTGCATGGCAACAAACCCATTGTCTGAATCAATTCTTGTTATATATCTCTTTCTCGGTTTACTAAAGAAAATATTTCATGACTGTTCTTTTTTTTTGATTTCTTTTATTCGCTGTTAAGAATTGCGATTTAGTTCAAAAGCAACAACAAACAATGAACGATGTTATTACGATAGTTTTCTTCTTTGTATAAACATTTTTTAGATATTAGTTGTTTTAATATCCAAAGTTTCCTGGCGCACCTGGTTGTTGTTGTTGTTGTTGTATTGGTTGCTGCTGTTGTTGTTGTTGTTGAGGAGGTAATTGTCCTGGATGAGCAATTTGTTGCGGTAACTATTAATAAAAAAAAACATAATATAAAATAATTAAATTAAAATAAAAGTATATTTTACTGGTTCAGCTTTTCTTTCTTTTGGTTCGGAATATGGAGTAACAATTGGTGTTTCTTCTTTAGGTTGTACGATTGAAATATGATCAGGTAATGGTTTCTTTGCACCTTTGCCTTCTTTTGCATCATATGGTAACATAATTTTACATTTAATACCAAGTACACCTTGACGTAAAAGAACGTGTCGTACTGCGAATTGTACGTAATCATTGACTGGGTCACCCGAATGAATCATCAAACCATCAATAAATTTCATAGCTTTAGCACGTTGACCACGTAATTTACCTGAAACAATAATTTCGCAACCTTGAGCACCGGATTCCATGATAAAACGTAAAACACCGTAACATGCTCTGAGAAAATAAAAACAATAATTTTTAAGTTTATTTTTATTTTTTTTTAATTTTACCGTCGTACTGGAAGGCCACCCATAAGTTTGTAACGTAATGATTCAGCTTGTGCAATAGCACATAAACCACGTGAAACAACTTTTTGTGCGAATAATTCAATTGAACCATCGGCATAACCAAAACGTTTTTGAATAACTGATGTTAATTCACGAATACGACGACCTTTTTCACCAAGTACTTGTTGAGTTTTTGTTGCCATAATAATAATTTCTGTTCGTTGAGGTGTTACACGAACTTCAAGTCCGGAGTAGCCATCTTCAGCTAATTCTCGGGTAAAAAATTCGTTAAGTTCAGCATGAAAAACACCTTCACGAATAAACTAAAAATACACTATAAAGATAAACGTAATCATTGAATATTAAATTCGTTTACTTTGCGTTTCTTTGAGATGTTAGCTGTTGCTGCCATATTTTTATGATCTTTTTATTGATCTGAAAGAAAAATAAACATAAATAAATGATAAATATTAGATAATTGATGATACAGAAAATTCTGAGAATAAAATAAATAAGTAAAGAAAACAGTTAAATGAATATTCTAATAAATTCTAATAAATCTATTGGTAATTAAACAGAACAAATGAAGGATTAATGAAATTGATTAGTCACTCTTATATAATATTAATTTCATAGTTTTAAGTTTAATTTTTGTAATTAGAATATCTGAAAAATTAAAATTAATTGAAGAATAATGGAGGACAACACAATAAATATGATTTGATTATTTTATCGAGGTATAGCGACATCTTTCGCGTCAGTGTATGTATTACTGTGAAATTTTCTTATTTTAAAATATTTATGATAGAGATGTGAATAAGTTAGAATGTAGCACTTGTTTTATGAAGTAAAGAATGTAAATTAGTTGAACGGTTTTTTTATACCATCTTTTCAAATCCATTGTTGCTTTCATGATTGGAAAAAAAAGAAGTTAACTAATATTTGTTCGATATGAAATACTTTTCGTAGGTTTAATAAGATACAACTATCTATTATTTGGTAACTAGAATAACGAAAATATATTATTATTGTAATCTTAGATACAAAGAAAAGTATTGATAATTTTTTTAGAAGGATTTTAAATAATCCTTCTTGTATAAATCCTATCAAATATCGTGCATTCTCAAGTAGCTTCTTATCATTCTTTACAAAGATCAAATAAGCTATAAAAGAACGAGACAAACATTATCTTTTTTCAAAATGATAATTTTCAAGTATTGCATATTTTTATAATATCAAATGACACATATTTATTTTAAACTATTTTATAGAGTTAGATAGGTCAACACTCATAATAGTTAAATTTCACAATGGTAAAGAAAAACTATTATGATTCATTGAATATTTATAAAAAAAAGAGAAATGATGAGTCACTAAGCTAACCTTAGTCAAAGAAAATATCACTTAGAAACTTCCAACATACCCACATAATAAATAAAGAATTTATTATTGTATATTGAATCTTGCACATAAAAGCTATTGATTTCGTATCATACAGTTATTAATTTCTAAAAATTTATTTGAATTCAGTCTATCTAGTAAATACTCAAGGAATTTAATGTCATCAACTGAAGCAATGTATCCACAAACATCTCTTCATGGTAATGGTTCATCATGTCCATGGCGTATAGTTAGAAAAGGTTTTAATGTCGAAGGTCTTTGTAGAAATATTCATTGTCCAGGTTATGGTCAAATGGTTATTGTTAATAAAGGTTTTGGTGAATATGATTTCGCACGTGTTATTCTTGAACAACATATTTTATGCCCAATATGTAATCACGAAATTTATCCTACTAAATATGGTTTAAATCA